CCTGATTCTGCATTTCACCTACATGTCAAACATCCTTTCTTCAAATTACTTAAATACAGCAGAAGTAACTTCTAAAATTTTAATTTCTTTCCAAGATGTTAAGGAAACACGCAAACTAAAGGCATGACCACTTCTGAAATTCTAGCTACGTCGCTGTGTTGCTTTTATATTTTATTACAATAAGCAAAGATGAATACTTATCAAAACACCTATGATGTTTTCTAATTTAATCTGGGATTCAAAAATGTGTTGCTTAACAACTAAGCATATCGTAACCTTCATCAAATAGCAACAAAATTCTTCAACCAAAGTCTAAGAAGCAACCTACAAAGTGCTGTGATATTCCTTAGTTCTAAGCGTGAGATATAGATTAAACAAGATGCCAACCTGTGTGGAAATGAAGTATAACACTTAAAAAAGAAGGGAAGTTTGGAAATTTAGAACCTTGGCTGAGAATCCCTACCAGCCAAGCAAGTAACCAGATATCAAGAAAACATCCACCAACACCCCCCCCCCCAACAACAAAAAAAAAAAAAAAAAAAAAAGAGGAAGAAAAAACAACAGAAACACTCAAGGAAGGACTTAAGTCCATTAAGAATGGCAACCTGATTTTGGTACCCTTCCACCTGATAATCAGCCAAAAGTGATCTTAGACTGCTGTACAAGGATTGGCTAAGATCATGAATGAACATGTAATAATAGCCTAACAGGCATGATACGCAAGTACATTTGACTTCCTATAATTCGTTTTGGGTGAAAGTAACACTTCACTTCTGCCCAGGCGTAATAATAGATGAACACTTAAAAACACATTGTAGGTTATGGGAGAAAGTGTTGTCACATTTTACCTGAGTACAGAGTGTTATCATCATTCCAGCAGGATTGATGGAATGAAACCCAGAAAATGTAAACAACGAAAAAAGGAATTGTTTCCAAATTAATATTCAGTTAAGTGTTCGACTGTAGATGACTAATGATGAAAGAAATTATCTTTTGAATCCCTTTGCCGTTCTGTTCATGGAGCTTTCGAAGGAGCTTCTTTTTTCACCGACATGAATAGGTATTTGGTGGCACCTTGATATAACAAAATTCAGGTGCCATCTCTCCTCCACCCCCCCTTTCTGTTCTTTCTCCATCCAAATTCAGTTCAATGTAAAGTAAGCTTAGCAGTAAAAACTATTCACCTAAAAAAATATGAAATGAATATCGCTCACCGCTCAGAAATCAAAGGAAAAATCAGTATTGCTCGTTAACGGTTAACCCACAAAATAAATAGCTAAAATCCAAAACCATACACCGAGACAGCTGATATGCAACAATCAATGGCATCATCAAGCGATCTGGGCTTTTCAGAACCAGAAAACAGAGATGAATCCAAAATATATATTTAGAGAGAGAGAGACAAAGAAGAAATAATTAGAGATATCTACCACGGATATACAAATTGCTCTAGCTGCTCCCGCGGAGGTTGTGGCGCTGGAACTTGAGTTGGTAAATGCACTAGCAGTCGCAGGTGGTGTCTTCAGCTCTGACTCAAAGGTTTCAAAGGAACATTCTTCCCCTCCAAATATACCTGGTCCGGTACTACCCTTGCCACCGTTACTCTTTTTCTGCTGTGCTATCTTTGTTAGGAATCTCTTTTTTTTTTCTTGGTTAAAAAAAAAAAAGGAGGAGACTAGTGTTCGGTGTTCCATTGGGTAAAAATGCATTTTTATTTTAAAATTAAAAATAGATAAAATTGTTGAAAAGTCCTTATTTTAAAATATAGTTCTTCTTAAAAAGACTTGAATAGAACTCTTTTTTAATAGGGAAATAACGTGTAACATATCTTCATTACAAATAGTTTTCATTTGTATGTGAAAATAAATTGCACACACCTGGATAAAAGTTGCAAAATGAATTGATCAAGTACTTTTAAATAATAAATAATAAGGGGAATTTGTTTAGCAATTTTTCTCAAGTTTTCATATTTATGATATCAAAAATATTGTTATTCGTAAGAAATGAGGCTTGAGAAGGAGAAATTAAACAATAACTCATCCTAGGCTCCAAGATCCGTTGACAAGTTTGAGGATTACTTGAGGATTTAAAAAAGAAGGCTCCACCTGCACCTAAAAAAGAAGGCTCCACTTCGAATGGGCCCCAGATTCCAAGCCCATAATTGATAAGCACTTGCCGATCATGATCCATCAACTATGGATCTGTTTAGATCAGTAATTAGAAAAGTAGTTCTTGAAAAAGTAAAATTGGATAAAAGCTAAATTGGATAAGTTGAATTGTGTTTGGACTGGAATTAAAAAAACTAGTTTGCAAAATTAATATTGATAAAAAATTGTTTGGATTATGATTGAGTAAAAGTAAGTTTGGTTGTAAAATTACCAAAATAAGTATGGGTTTTAATAAATAATGAAACATGTTTAAAAAAAATAATTTCACATAATACAATGAAATTAAAATAATTTAATATGAAAATGTCAAATTTAATGAGTGAATTAAAATTTAAAACTTTAGAGAAGTCATAAAAAATAATTTAAATATAAAGTAAAACATGAAAAAATAAAAGTATATTTCTAGGAGTATATTTAAAAACAAAAGTATATTTCTAACTTATTTATTACTTTCAACTAATTTTAACTGATTTTTTGTTATCTACAAATTAGTTATTTGAGGCTTATAATAAGAACCAAAAGAGGTAATAAGTTTATTAATTTTTTCTCTCCCCATGTTTCAAAAGCTATAAGTCATAAGCTGTTAATTTTAGCTTATAGCTTGTTGTAGCTTTTTATACAAAAGTCAGATTGGCCAATCGCTCAACCAAACAGCATCACAATTTGCAATTGTACTTTTCAGGCTTATAAGCCACTTATGATGCTTAGAACGCCTAACCAGACAGACACTATATCTATTTATCAACAAAGCCCATTATAGTTGGTAGATGGCCAGTCCTTTAAATATGATGTCTTGGGCTTGAATCAGGCCGTGAGCAAGGAAGAGGCTTTGTTGAAAGAGGCAAAACCCACTTTGATAATCTCTACATCTTAAAAGGATTAGTCTTTAGCTATTGACTGAGAAATACTACTTGATTTTTGAGGAAAACATTATATCCACTTTTTTTTAATTATAAACTCCACTTTTAAATAAGATCAAAAGTATGTGCGATTTTTATATGATTAAGTGCTTATTTTTCACCAAAAAAAAATCTACTTATATAATAGAGAGAGAAACATTAATTATAAAGGTAAACTTGGGGGGGAAAAGATAAAATTGGAACTAATTTGGTGAGAAAAATTTAAATTCTAACCAATTTTCTTATAAGAGTAGATAATTTTGAATTATATTTAAAATCATCAGTAATATTATATAAGAGATATAACGTGTATCATGTATTAATTAATAATTCAAAAAAATATACACGGTCAACTTCTTTAAAAAAAATGCATTAAACTTTGAGTAGAGATTGAATATCAACCTTCAAACAGGTAGATTTTGATTACTCAAGTCATGATTAAAATTTAAGCCCTTCTAAAAAGGCCCCATTTTTGTGCTTCATTGTGTTGAGCGTCTGTGAAGTCACTAGTGAAAACCAATTTCCCACTGACCTTAGATGATACCCCATCCAAATGTGCATGCTTTGCCTCACCAACAAATGCATCACAATTAAGCACGACAGATTGTCAGATTCTGTTGGAGGTTTTAAATCAGCATGTTTGTACACTCGCCCTCCTTTCTGTCAAATTAGTCTGACTTGGCAGCTAAGGAATGTTTGGGAAGCTTCTTAAGTTAAGTTGTCTCGTAATATATACTTTTTTCGATTCTTAATATAAGAATCCGTTTGACTTTTGTTTTAGTCTTATAAATAAGTCTCCAATTTACTTTATCATTCTTATTTATTTATTTATTTAAAATAGTCCTTGTACTAATGATAGTTCTAATTAATATACTTGATTAGCAAGAATACTTTAGAAAAAATAATACCTATTTATTATAAATAACTAACTTAAATAATTTTCTTAATTTACTCAAATTAACCGACTAGCTCTTATATTAAAGATTGGAAGTAGTATATAACAGTTACAAGATTGTTGGGTCTAAGCTTCTTTTTCTAAGGGGAAAAAAAGAGTGCTCCTCCAAGATGCTTGCAGTTCTCCACTTCCAGAGTTCTCTAGTCCCGACCTCAAGCATCAGCCAATCATAAAGATTTAGTGAGCCAAAATGAAAATAAAATTCTTAAGGGTTTATGATGGAACAATGGCAAGTAGGTGTATCTTTAATTACCCTCCGCCTATTATCTCGCAGGTGGATGGTGATAAAGGATTGACTCTTATTGTTAGCGTATGCAATTCAGCTTTTTACCAAGAGGGAAGCAGGTGTACATTCCCACCTGTCTTGGGCGAATTGGGCCGCATCATTTTTATGTCCGAAGCAACACAAATTTTTTTTGACTAGGCACACCGCGCACACATGCAAACACCTCTTTTAATAAGAATTTAAATATTAATTTATCACGTTAGGAGAGACTAGTTCACCCAATCTTCATTAGCAGCAATACAAAATTTATCTACACAACGGTGTGCATAAATCATTTGATCCATCAGGTGGGGTTTCACGAAACAGTAGGAAGTCCTCCGTAAACACAAGGAATGTGACGTGGAACATCGTCCACTTTTCACATTCAAGGACCTATTTGTTCAAACTTTAGAAACAAGCACTTTAATTAAGCTAAAGATAAACAACAATCACTTGTTTTTTTAAAAAAAAAAAATTCTCTGAAACTGTGATGTTTATTTAATTTTTTTTTTTAAAAAATATTTTGCACAAACAGACATTTGTACACAGATACCGCTAAAAGAGAGTTACACCAAATCTAAGGTATCTTTGAACAATGAATTTTGTAATGGGCAGTTTTTCAACAATTTTTTCTTTAATTTAAAAATATAAACCAAAAATAAAAAGTAAAATTGTTGTCCCCGCCGTACGCTATCGGAAATGCAGATGATATGCAATGTTCAACGTTTTCAACTTCAATATTTCATTGGAAATACAATGTTCCATGCATTTATACAGAGTCATAAAGTTCACATGAGCCTGCGCTCCTAAGCTGACCCATCGCCACCTAACCTCATCATCTTAGATAATTACATTTTCAGAGAGCCAACACAAAGTTAACAGAGGACCAAGAGATAGCTGAACTGCCATTCAAAACCAGCAAGAGTTAGCCTTCAAAAGGAGCCTAGAAATAGCTATAGCTGAAGAGACGACAGCAAGAATTGGAATTTCAATGAAGCAATACCAACAACAACAAAAGTCTCGTCACCTTAAGTGATATGAACTTCCAATAAGCCAATAACCAGGAGCTACATGAAATAGCTGTAGCTGTAGCTGAAGAGACTAAAGCCAAACCGCACAAAGTTTTTTTCATTTTGGAAGGAAAACTCCTTCGGATACCTCCGTTTTGAGTATTAGAATTACTCCTTGGGCTTCTTAGCCTTTTTCTTTGACGTCTTGGCAATAGCATCACATATATCTTTTCTCCGTTTGTTGGTGTTATGGTTTTCGTTGCCGCCCCCTATGCTTCCTGAATTCTTGCCCTGATTCTCTAATGCCTCCTTCGCAAAAAATTTTAACCTCCACAAGGTCGAGTCACTCTGCTTGAACACAAAGAATTACAAACATGATCATTGAATCAACTTGCAACAAATAGATGTAACTGAATCACGGAACGTCTTTTCTATGAGGTATTACTGAGTTGGCCTACCAAAGTTCACTAATATTTGTCACACATGATCCCGGGGGCTCTACTACACATCCTCAACATTCATATATTCATGTATTTAGGGAAAGAGTCAGATAAGAAACATATGAGTGGTGAACCTATATTCTGTCTCTACAGGTATCATGTCTGTCTTTCTACTTCCAAATGCATTATGTGCATTCATTTTTGTGATAATTCAGATTAATAATTTGTTATTGTTGGTCCTCACTCGATTGCAAGTGGAACCTGCTAGGTAAAGGCTTCACTAGAAAACCTTCCTTTTCAAAAAATAGAAAGAGACATGGAGTGGGATATAAATATTGACCTGAGCATCTATGTCAAGATCCACCTCTTCAGCAGTCGCTTGGAAGTTCGGATTATTTTGTGCAACAATTTCCAATGCTTTGCTGATATCTTCAGTAGATAGTTTGGCGAGGGCAACTCCAAGCTTTCTTTTCTCTTCAGTTGACATTTTTCTGTAACGATTTTTCTTAAATTTAGCTTTAAGAGCAGGGGAGAAAATACATGTAGTTTTTTTTCCTGGGAAAAAGAATCAAGAATCAAGAGGGATAATTGCAATAGACCCAACCTGCATCTTGTGGCAACCATCTCCCTCAGTTCTTCTAAATGCATATCAACTTCACACAACTGGTAAGGTACAAATGAAATCTTAATGTATTTCATCAGACCCAAGTAAAAATTTTAGCTACACAAGACAAAGAATCTTCACTACGTTTGAAAATAGCATAGGATTTGTGAATAATTTTTTCTTGCAGTTCAAAATAGTACCTCTCAACAAAAGTGTAAATATAAGAATACCTCCTTACTCAAGTCTCTAGTCATTTTTGCATAAGCAGCCTCTTGAGCAAGCTGCATGGCTATCTGCGCCTCTGCTTCTTCTTCTTCTCGTCTTTTTTCCTATAATTGAACAGCCCACATGATACATCAATGTACCAAGAAACTGACATTAATGACACAAATATTTTAGTTTTCTTTTCTTTTCTTTTCTTTTCCGAAATAAAAAAAAACTTAGGAGTCTCCAGAATGAAACAAAAAGCATATCTAAATCTCTAATCAAATTCTATTCCACAAAATAATTGGTCTCGGGAAAAATAATTAGTTGAAAATAAGTTACCTCTTCAGTAACTTTTGGCAGAAGTAGCAACCATTTCTCCTCAAATTTTGCCAGCAAAGTTTTTGCCATCACGTGAACATCACTTCTCTCATCATTATAATTCATAGCATTCTTGAAAACCAATCTGACATCAGCACATATCTCCCGGACATTTTTATATCCAGTGCCATCCTTAGCCTCCATCTGATTCTTAATGGTACTGAAATCCATAGGCTTATCAATGACCTAGCACGCATTATTTACAACAAATCAATCGAAGGCCAACAGCAAACTAATATAAGCAGGCTAATTCACAAGATGCAACAAGGTGAGCAACTAATACGTGTCACAGAATTGCCATATAACAGAAACCTAAAGTATGTTTCATCATTTCAGAAAGCACAAACTATACAGTTGATTACTACTTCTAGAAAAAAGTCAACACAGATGACTTGCACAAACAAGAATTCACAAAAGAAAAACATAGCATAAAACAACCCAGAAAGAAGCGCTGAACGGAGTTTTTTTTTTTTAATGGAAAATAAATCTCACTACAATTTTGATATCTTCCATCACATGACTTCTCTCCCTGCCTAGGCAAAGAGTTCTGAAACCATCAATAAGGGATATCCAACAGTGTAATCCCCACCCCAAATGTTAGAAGTCAATCTGTTTCCATCAGCATCTGACCTTACAGTCAGATGGCAAGAAGAAGCAAGACATAGAAACATGCACTAGACTCTGCTTGCATCTCAGGGGGCTTGCTGGCATGGTGGATTTAACTCAGCCGCAATGTCACCTGTTCAACGCACAGCACCAGAGAGAGACCGAGAGATACATGTACTAGACCCTTGCCTTACACAATGACAATCATCTATATTTCCTTTGCTGATAAATTAAAGTTCAATCATCAACTAGCAAAATTTATTAGTTAAATCAAGTTAGTAGGAACAGACATATCTGTATACATCCACAATACCAGCTATGAATAATCAATGATGTCTACCACTCTAACCTAATTTCAAGGCTGCCAGCCAGGTTTTTTTTTTTTTCCCTTTTTTTTCTTTTTATGAGAATCAACTAGATATTCAAAACAACTAATACTGGACAGAAGGTTTACCCAGTAATTAAATGTGATTAACAATTAACATGTATATCTTATAATTAATTCAAATCCATTCACCATTAGAGTAAAATACATCAAAGGAGAATCTAAATGAGTGACAAGAAAAAGACAAGTCCTCGGAAAAAAGAGAATTAAAAGACATGAAGCTCTCAAGTAATACTCAAAAAAGGCCATACAAATGAGAGTGTACCTTTAGGGAATTTACGATAGAATATTGAAATATACCTCATAATAGTCATGTAAACCAAGGCCCTCCACATCCACAGGTTGCATAAAGGGCCATGCCCACTTGTGTTGCGTGATCTGATGGAAAGAGAACAATGATTAGGGAACTTCATTTGCAATCCTAAATATCAGAAGACGTTTAATACCTAAGGGCTTAATCTCATCTACAATTTAATGACAATAAAGACATAGCAAGGATTCAAGTTACCATTACATCACAAAAAGGATTGACAAAAGAATCAGAAGGAAAATGCAAGCAATCACCTTACTTGACATCACCGAATGAAATATACCAATATTCTTGTATAAACTATTCTATATAACAAGTCTAAATGCCAGTCAAAGAAATCAAATGTCCCTAACATTTGAGCTGAAAGATTTAAGCTCCACCACTGCACAAAGGTCTTCATCTCCAACACATCCTCACACAAAAAGCCTTCTGAACTAGAAGCATAGAATAAGCATTGTGCCATCTTATATTACCTAGTTTTGGAAGTAAAGTTAAATATGAAGAAAGAGGATGCCAAGGAATGAAAATTCACCCCCTGTTATAAGTCTCCAACACCACTGAAAGTTGATTTTACTAATGATTTCAATTAAGAGAAGCATGAAGTGAAACACAAATGAAAGATGAAGTTTAAAAGAGGGGGGGAAAGACACCGCCAACTTTAGACTCTAATGAAAATATGAAATTGCTGAATTCCAATCAAAATTAAAGGTCGGTTGATTTGGATTGTGATGGTAATGCTATGCCTAACTCAACATAGGACTTGTAAAAAGTTTATTTCTAGTTTGAAAAAGTCCCCTTTCAGTTCGAAAATTTTATTAGTATTTAATTAATGTTTTCAGACCACAGTCCAAGAAGTAATTAGTTACTCCTACCCTTTTCTACAACTCTATACCAGTTACATTTTAAAGTCCATGTGTCCTCCTTAGTTCAAGAGGTCAAATTTTGATGCTTTCCTATAATTTAAATGGAAGAAATAAATAGCTAGAAAATTGGGCTAAATTTGCATTTTTTTTTGGGGGGGGGGGGAGAGAGCAGACACAAAGCATAAGTGCATGAAAAAAAATAAGATTAATAAGATTAAAACTCAAAAAAATTACAAATTATAATTTTATATGGTTCCTTAGTATTGCTATAAACTGAAACAGATGAAACCAAAAAAAAAAAAAAAGGTTTGGATCAGTGGAATAAACAAGGTGGTTAATGATAGCATAGAATTGTCAAAATAAACAAAAACCATATTTTTAAATGCTTCGCCCACATTCAAGTTGAGTTAACACAAGATGGCTTTTCACTATATCTACACTTAAAATGACCATGTCATTTTCATTAACCCCTCCTCAATTAACCTAACATAACACTTTAAACCTGATTGTTATAAAGAAACAGCCAACAAAACAGAGGTTCACACAAATCGCACACTCCACAAACAAAGCATATGTAAACAAATAATAACAGATAGGTTACTTTACCTGACGTAATATTGTGCCAAACTGGCGCATAAGATCCTGCATTCTCTTTGCAGCAGCAGCTTCTCTATGTGATGCATCCTGCTGTTGTTTCTTAATACTTGGTACATGTTTGTCCTTATCTTTATCTTTGGTAGCAGAGCTACCCTTTGATGTGTTTGCTTGCTTCTTGTTCATGTTTGAGTAAAAATTTTCAATCTCGCTTAACCGTTGCTCAAGCTGCAGGAAAACTACAAATGTAAATCTATAAACAAACTTCAAGAACGATACAGTTAAAATACGATAGCATTTTAATCTCCATATACCATTTATTGTTGCAGTAAATGTCACCTAAAGATGTTATTTCTTCATCCATACCTAACATCTTCTCCAGTCCTTTGTTTCCAATTCACTGTAAGATTGTTCTATTGCATAATTCTTTTGATGCAATAAAGAAAGGATCAAAATACAGAAACCTAAACTATTCTGTTGTGCTTTATTCTAGACAGCTAGATGTTTCCCCTGCACGACATAAGGATAACAACTTAGAAGTTCCCAAAGATTGTGCTTAACTTTTCTAATATTTAAATTTTATTGGAATATGTGACGTGATATTGAATGCATAAAAACAAAGTTGCATGGAGCCATACCATGCGTGCAAAATAATCCAACTAAAAAAAAAAAAAGGTTTACACAAAGCATGAGAGGAGCCACACTATTCATGCTCTATGGATTTTAAATTTTATATAGACTTGCATATCTTGTGATCTTGTGAAAGGAACTGCGCTCCTCAAGAGAATCCATTAAACCAGTAAAAAGACATTATTAAACTTGAAATATTACTGGTAAGCAGTTCAACAACCGAACTCACAAAAACAACATTTTAATGAAATAGAGGTCTTCTCTAATTGTTCTCTACCAAGTATCAGCTAGTAGCGCATTTTTTCATCAGTCATTGCATGCAAGGAACTGAAACATGCACAGTTAATTGTCAGGTGAAAATAGGTTTCATGGAGCATGATAGATCATGATCAATACGAGGTTCCAGACAAAAGGATTCTTCAACAGAAATTCATTGATGATTCAACAACTCGCGCAACTCATCTGGCTCATACATATACCAGCCAGAGTAAGAAAGGAATTGCATTTCATTTAGTTAAACTTCCGACTAAAACTAACAATCAAACAACGTACTTCACTTCTTATCATTCCTGACACAACGACTTTCTCTTCTAGAACATACCTTGTCAACTTTTGAAATCATCTCGTCCACATGATGCCTAAAACCCCCAATTTCTGCAGCAGAGCCATCAGCATTCCCTGGATTATTACTTCTGGCTTCAGAACTTGGTGCAATTGCCGTTTCCATCTGATGGAACACCATATGTAATACAAAAATTTGTTACTTTTTTGAGGTGATCTGATGGAACACCATATGTAATACAAAATTTGTTACTTTTTCGAGGTGATAGCTGATATTGTAACAATGCATCCAAGATAAGATAAAAATCATCTTCTGGTATTTAATTGTGACTGTGAGTGTGTGAATAAGAGTGAAAATGAGGGTATGCACAACACCACATGCAGAAAAGATAATTCCAAAGAACAAATATATTCTACCACTGGGAATATTAAGGATTTTCAGACTTAAATCCAGCAGGCAAAAACTCAGACGGTACTGAACTATGAGCCTAATGAGTTAAGAAATACAATGAAATATTTCGTTCTTGTTTGTTTGAAGATGATTTTGAACATTAAGGAAGCCATCATTTTAGAAAGTAATTAAATATACTCAACTTCATCAGAAAATCGAAAAATCAATCAAATATTTTTGCGGAACGAAGAGACATCATCATACACCAACAATGCTTTTTTTCCCCCAAAAAATTTTCTCTCACTATGTTCTGCACATCAAAAGTTTGAGGTCAAAGGCGAACATACTGATCAATTTCAACTATGGTGGCTACTGTATATCATGGGACAAGTTAAAAAAGAGAACCTGAACTTCACATATATGTTCCTTTAAATTCTTGGCTTCAGACTAGTAAAAATCAGCATAATTTGTCAACATATATACAAGTATGTTTACTGTCTTATGACTCATCAGCATGTGCAACTGTGTATGTTGTCTGATCTTTGAAAAAGAAGAAAATCTAACGTGAGCTCATACAGCATGAATAAATAACTTACCCTCAACCAAATTTACTCCCGCTAAAAAATACTCCCCCCAGTTCAAAATATAAGTTAAACTTTGTTAGAGATGCTTGGTTTTTTTTATAAGATAACATTCACTTTTGTCTAAGCATCTAATGAGTCTTTTCCAATTTTATCACTAGACATTCTCTTTCCTCTTTGATTCATTTATTGCATATTTTACTTATTCTCTTCATTAATAAGGACATATTTGGAAAAAAAGAATATATATGGCTTACATATTTATTGTTTCAAACTGATTTTAACTAGTTTCTTGATAAACGTAAATGAATAAAGTTTAGCTTATATTTTGAACGGGAGGAGTAACTTCTCAATTTTATAAAACCCTGCCATTTTCCACGCTCTTCTATCCCCTCTCTTTTCCTCATGCCCCGATATCCAAATAGTTTTTGTCAGCCTCTCAGATTTGATATGTTCATAATGTTTACAGGTAAACCAAGGCCGTCAAGCCAACAATTAAGATTGTCTTGAATCTCGATCATCAAAATTTTAGGTATTTCTTTTCCAATTGAAGTATATAACACGTTGCATCATGAAAGCACGCAACTAAGAAAATTATGAATGGGCCATAAATTTATTTGCGGGTGCTCAAACAATGAGTGCAAATGACTCTTCTTCAAATTTTTTGTTGGCATAGTTGCTTTTCAATTATCTTTGTAGTTGTACGGATATTCTACTGCAATAGATCAAGCCTACAGCTAAAAGCTCGCATTAATAGGTGGGGAAAGTAATTTGAAAAAGCTGGAATTTACTGCAACTTATTTGTATTTACATTAGTTTCCTCATCACAATATACTCTTAACATCAATTTTAAAGCATATTTTTTCAAAAAGATATTTACTAATTTAGGCTCGCCTACAATGCAGGCATGAAGCAGACTAAACACAAGGCTCTACATCAACTCTTCCAAAATATTTGTGGTTGGCCCCAAACAGCAAGGACAAAGAAAATCATGAAATATAGACTATTTCACACGTCGCAGTTTCCTTGCACGTAATGGTTCTATTGCGTTTCCACAATTCATAAGTACAGACTGACAGAATTAGAAACATGCTCACCGAAGTGTGACAAAACTCAACAAAACGTGTCGCAACCAAGGGTCCACACGGAACTGGAAATACCGACTTACTTACAAACACTTACACTATAGACAGAGGAAAATTACAATTTGGAACTAAGACGAAGGCGTAGTGAAGTTCCAAAGATAGGAGGAAAAAAAAAGAAAAAAAAACAGTACCTTGTCGCAGGATATAGTTGATTCTCCTCGAATTCTCGAGTTGCCGAAACGAAGAATCGTACTACCTCCAGTGCATGGCCGCCGAAATAGACGATGGGGTGATCAAATGAAGATGAAGGTGAAGTTGCGAAGAGTATCAAATAAGAATAGGGAGGATACTCAAAAATCCTCGCACTATGGAGAATGACGGCGAATGCGGGTCCCCTGCTCGGAGAGATGGGCTCAGTCGGCAACTTCCTCCTTATTATGGTTTATATTTGATGGAGATTTTTAATTTTTTTTCTAATTTAAATATGAATATATTAATGGGAAAATGACAGATAAAGAAGGCTGAAATAATAAAATGCCAGAATGGGAAGCTAAGCAAATGTATTACCAGATAGGGAAGTGTTGCCTGATTTGGGATTATGCAAATGTTGCACAATTACAAAACAGCCCCTGTCAGTCAGCGTTTGAAAGCGGAGAGAGAGAAGGCGCGCGCGAACACTCCTGCACTGACCGTCGTGCTTCCCGGTTTCTCGCTTCCACCATCCCCATTGTTGCCCTAAAAACGCCGGCAAGCTGGACAGTTGAGGACCCCGAAATAGTGTGTGCGTAAGAGAGCAGAGGAGTTGGAAGTGGAAGGGCGTGCTGTTCGAAGGGCGAACGTGGTCGCGTCTGACTGATTGTGTGGAAAGACGAAGGTTGGCGCACGGTGATTCACCATTGCAGTTAACAAGCATCAACAGCATTTCAGTGAGGTAAGTTCAGGCATTTAAGTTTCGTGCTGTGGTCGACGTTTCTGGGTGAGTCTGGGAATCAATGATAGGGCAATATTTAGATATGACGCGATGAAGTTTGTGAATGACAGGAATGGCGATTAAGGGTTTATGCTGAGTCGCTATGGCAAGCTATTCTGTTTTTAATAACGTAGTTGAGAACTGGAAAAATGGGTTTTGAAATCAGTAGGAAAATTGTCTGATTGACTGGAAAAATTATATGAACAACTGGAAATGACAATAACATACTGGTAAATGACTATGATCGAACCTAAAATGACCATATTCATAGTAATGACCTTACTGTCTGAATGAGTGGAAAGATTATATGAATAAACTGGAAATGACAATACCAAACTGGTAAATGACTATGAAGGAACTTGAAATGACCATATTCATAGTAATGACCTTACTGTCAGACTGTAATGGCCATGTTGGTAATGACAATGAATTAAGTGGGAATGACCATATTCATATTAATGACCTAACTGTTAGTCTGTAATGGGCATATTGGTAATGACAATAAGTTAACTGGAAACGACCATATTCATACCGGCATCCTTACTGTCACTCTGTAATGGCCATATTGTAAATGACAATGAATTAATTGGAAATGACCATATTCATAGTACTGACCTAACTGTTAGTCTATAATGGGCATATTGGTAATGACAATAAATTAACTGGAAACGACCATATTCATACCAGCATCCTTACTGTCACTCTGTAATGGCCATATTGTAAATGACAATGAATTAATTGGAAATGACCATAACGAATCTGGAAAGAACTAGATGTGTAGTAAATGTATTAAAATTATGATTTAATGATGGTACCTTGATGACTTTGCAGAACTATACGAGATGGTGTTGGAAGAAGGGGAAGGGTCCACAAGCAAAGGAGTCCACAGTGGGCTTGTGTTGTTCAGAAGGGAGTATATGGCTAAACGAGGTGAGAAGTGTAAAAACGCAAGAGAAGAAAAAATTGAAGTGGGGAAGGCATGGAGGGCCCTGAGTGAAGAAGAGAAAGATAGGTATAATGAGAGGGCAAGGAAAACGAAGCCACAGAAAGGTGAGAAGAAGAAGTATGATGTTCCCTTGTACACCCGGTGCTCATTGCCCGGATTTCTATCATTGGCTGAATATGTGAAGAAGAACAGGCGGTTGAGGCAGAAAGTTCAGAGGATGGGATTTGGGAACTTGCTTAATGTGAATGTGAAGCAACTTCCACGTGATCTACTTGTGTCATTGTTGAGATGCTATGACCCACCAACGCATTTTTTGACCATTAGAGGGCAAGGGCAGGCAATTGAGGCAAAAGATGCGCATGAGTTTCTAGGTGTACCTGACAGTGGGGAGGAAGTGAAATCTGATGTTAGTGAGGATGACCCGGAATACAAGAGGTTGAAGGACACTTATTGGAAGGTTCCATTTACCCAGATACTGAAGAGGATATTATCTGGGGAAGAAAGCGACAATTTTGAGTTCCTATTTATGCTTTATACAGTTGGAGCTTTTCTATGTCCTGGGTCAAGCACAACTGTACATATACGTTTGTTGAAAGTGATGCGTCACACGATGAATGGGTTTTGGAAATATGATTGGTCAACGTACATAATCAAGAACCTGTGGAAGGAAATGGGAGACTTTGTGAAGATGACAAAGAAGAAGAAGAAAGGAACCTGCAATGTTGGAGGGTGTCTTTATTTGCTGCTGGTAAGTCAATATTTTTCTTATGGTTCACTATATTTTTGTCTTTTGTTATTGTTGCAGAAGTGTGACCTATCTTTATTTGGTTTTGCAGCTGTATTTTGTTGAGCGTTTCCCGCTGGGATTGTCTGTTGACCGGGGTTCAACAAGCGCCATTGAATATTGGACCGAGGAGAAGATAAAGGAGAGGGTGGAGAAAGAGAGAGGCAGCAGCATGGGAATATTGCATGGAAGCAGTGGCAGCGAGGTATACTCAGCAGGACATGAGGACAGTTCAATTTTGCAGTCTTTAGATCCGGTATGTGGGAACTTAGAAAATATACGTGACCTGAGTTTAAGTCAGTCTATTAGCAAGGTTGATACTTGAGATGACAAGACTTTATTTAGAAATGACCAGTGAGATACTGGCATTTGATAACAGTGAACAATTTTTTTGATATCTTCATTTACTGTGTATGCAGGCATTGAAGGAGTTGAGGGCTCGTTTTGTGAAGAAGCTTGAAGAAAGCCAGAGGACGTTAATGAAGGCTCTTGATGATGAGCTACTCAAATTGCAGATTGGATTGAACGCCAAAGTTAAGGGGATGGGGAATGAGAATGCCACTGCTAAAGAAGGGGTTGAAACAGTTGGTGATGCAGCTGGTAACGATGCTGAAGAAGCTGATGATGTTGACCGAGTGGTGGAGGAGATTGCAAGAGAGGTTGCAGCGGGAAGTGCAGATGAGGAACTTGATGAGGATGAAACCAGCAAAGGAGATGATGAGAAGGATGAGGATGAGGAACAACATGACCTTCATGACAGGGAAGTCAGTGATGATTACATGGTTGAGGAGGTGGAAGAAGAGGGTGACCGTGATGGTCATGGAGGTGATGACGACGACGACGAGGATGAGGAGGAAGATGACCATGATGACAGGGAAGGAGGTCATGTGGTTGATGAGGAGGAAGATGACCATGATGACATGGAAGTCAGTCATGATTATGTGGTTGAGGAGGCCGAAGATGATGATAAGGAGGTTCGGGATTCAGATGATGAGGGGGAGGAAGCTACACATGTACTGACAATGACCCCTACCAATGTTCCTTTGCTGTTGGATCGAGAATGGGTGAGCAGTGACAGTGGGGAGGAAGGAGGGCCTGAAAAATCGATTGACCTTCGGAGGTCAACAAGGGCAAAGAGTTCCACAATTAAATCTCCGTGGATAGAATTCAAGGCAGCTCCGAGGACGAAGAGGCCAAAGGAGGAAAGTGACATCTTTTTCACTTTAATATCCCGTAGACCCAAGGGAGAGGAAGAGGGGAATATGTAAGTATATCCGTAGCTAGTGTTTTGTTTTTAAATGACACAGTGTGCCCTGAAAATGACAGCAATAGGATTGAAAATGACAATAACATACATGGGAATGACAAGTATTGATGTCCCCAACACCATACTTTCTGTCACTGACATCTGACAATGTTTGCAGGACTGTCATCAAAATGTTTGATGAAGATATAGACCGACAACAGCTGTTTTCCCTGGGTGGAGTGAACAGAGTAAATAACAGGGTATTTAAGAATGCTCTGTCCCTGCACCCACGATTATGTTTGATAATGTTTGGTGAGATTATTGTACCAGAATGACGTTTTCACTTGTGTTCTGTAGGTGCTTAATTTGGTGTGCAAGGCAGTGATGGAGGACATGAAGGCAGAGTTGGGGCCAGGGAAGAGGCACATTTTCGATGTTGATTTCATGGTGAGGTTGCATAATTCCAAATGCAAATACCAATGACAGCAATTGAATTGGAAATGACTTGTTCTCTGTTAATGGATTAACAATTTCATGTCATGCAGAACATGATGGCACATGATCCAACCTGGAAAGCCCAAAAATATAAGAAGCTCTTTCTTCCTGAGTTCGTTGGCTACAACTTAGCTGAATGTGATTTCATAATTGGTCCTGCTCTTGTTGGCCAACACTGGTTTTGCGTTGCCATTCAGCCTAGCACATTGGATTTCCACGTAATAGACTCCATGAGGAACCATTTCGGAACCAAGGACAGAAAGCAGAAGAAGAAGGTTGTCATCAAAGACCCAGTGGAAATGGCTGTGGATGATTGTGTAAGAAAAAACTCATTATCTTTACCCTAGTTTTTGAACTTGGAAAATCATTAAACTTTCTATGTTGGTCCTGAATGTTGTTGCAGAGGAAGAGGCTCAATATTATACTGGACTTGGTCAAGCCAGGATTGGTTGGGAAAAAGCCAATGTCTCCCATGATATTTGCAGCAGTTCCCCAGCAGAATAACCTGTCAGTTTTGTCAAATTCGATTTCTGTGGGGTAAATGCACATGTCAGATGTGTTAACTAACTGTGCTGATATTGTTGCGTCCACAGGAGGGATTGTGGGGTGCACTGCATGATGTGGCTGAGAAGATGGGAACCTGGTGTGACCCTTACCTACACAGAGGAAGAAGTTGCTGGCTTTCGTCGTGACCTGACATGGTGGTTGGTCAATCATGAACAGAATGAAAAACGTGACGAGGCATTGGCCCTTATTCGACGACCACAACCAACCAAGAGCACAAAGTCCAAGAAAAGGCGTCGGTCTTAGGTGTCTCGATGTTAGGGTCATAATTCACTTGTCCTCTGTTAGATTGCTGTATGTAATGTGCATTGTAGGCTGACCAAAAATTTACTGTGTATTGTTATGGTTAACAAAGATTGGTGTCCATAAATGTATGATAG